AAGGCATGAAATGTTGTTCCATGCTTTTCTAATTTAAATGTTGTACATGTTGAGAAATGATCTTGCCAGCCATTTTAAGCCTGGCCAAAAACATAACACATTGTTGTTACTAGTCTTCATCATTTGATTAGGGCCAACATTTTGTTTAGAATTATAAAGGAGTATAAATCTCTTTTATAGTTATAGCTGATTTCTGCCATAAGAGAGATAAGATGAGAAGGCAGCATTGTTTCCTTGATGTGTTGCTTTGGTTAGCCTCATGAGGCTGATTAGGCCAGGGATGTTCACTTTGAGAGACTTCTTGGGAAGTAAGATTTCAATTTAATTTAACTTAAAAGAAATTACCTTGATGTGCAAGGCTCCGTAGGAGGTGTGGGAGGAGAAATTAAGATGCGGATGACGAGGTTCATGCTCTTGGGGGTCTAATGATTCAGCAGAGATGCAAGATACACGATAACTAATATAAGGTGGTGTGTGAATAGTATACATACACAAAGATTAGAGAGAGCTTAGAGAAGAAACAGCATTACCTCACGGCCTATGTTTGGGGCTGCAGTTGTTGTCCTTGAGGCCATATGTATCCCATTGAGCCTGCAGGCTGAGTAAGCCATCTGCCTCTCAGACATACTACTATTTTTCAAATGTATTATATGTAGATGCCCTGGTAGCCAACAATGCTTTTAAATGAATTTTTGTTATATTACATTTATTATAGATTTTTGTCATATTGTATATTTTTGGTCAGTGGCTACTACCCTGATGACTCCTATCATGGGCACCTTTGAAATTTTTTCATGTTAAAAATTGGTTCAGTTATCCAAAGATGACAGACTGTTGCCTACAGCAGTCAATGCTGTCCAAAAGACCTTTCTGTGATCATGGAAATATTCCCTGTATTGTCCAATACTAGCCACATGCAGGACCTGAGCACTTGAAATATGGCTAGTGAGATGGAAGAACTGAATTTTTAATTTTGTTTGGTTTTAATTAATTTAAATAGCCACATGTGGTAGAAGCTGTCATATTGAACAGGGATAGCACAGATCTATAGTGTCCCTTTGTTTGGAATTTTCTGAACTTTTCCCCTCCCCTGCCAGGTTGCCTTGCCCTACCTCCTGCTATTTTGTTTGTTTATTTTTTGAGACGGAGTCTTACTCTGTTGCCCAGGCTGGAGTGCTGTGGCACGATCTTGGCTCATTGCTACTTCCACCTCCCATGTTCAAGCAGTTCTCTGTCTCAGCCTCTTGAGCAGCTGGGATTACAGGTACCTGCCACCATGCCTGGCTAATTTTTGTATTTTTAGTAGAGACAGGGTTTCACCATCTTGGCCAGGCTGGTCTTGAACTCCTGAGCTTGTGATCCACCTGCCTCCACTTCCCAAAGTATTGGGATTACAGGCATGAGCCACCGTGCCTGAACTTGCTAGTTTATTTGATACCCACAAATGTGGGTGACTACGAGGCCCACTTCTTGGATGCCCCTATTCCTGAAGTTTCTTTAGGTTAAGAGAAGAGTTCTTTCATAGATGTTTAATGAAATGCAAAAGCCTTTTCTAATCATAGAAATGAAAAGAATGGTAGTTTATACTTTTCTTTTAGCCAGCATCTGATTGTCAGGGGCTTTAAGGAGATTTCTGTATACCTGAGACACATGAGTTATTTGTTTTCATAGTTTATTTATTTTAAATTTTATATAGCATGATCCTTTTTATTTTTATTTTTTTCCCCATTTATTTATTTTATTGTATTTTAGGTTTTGGGGTACATGTGAAGAACATGCAAAATTGTTGCATAGGAACACACATGGCAGTGTGATTTGCTGCCTTCCTCCCCATCACCTACATGTGGCATTTCTCCCCCTGCTATCCCCCCCAGCTCCCCACCCCCCACAGTCCCTCCCCTATGTCCCCCCAACTGACCCCAGTGTGTAGTGCTCCCCTCCCTTTGTCCATGTGCTCTCATCGTTCAACACCCGCCTATGAGTGAGAACATGCAGTGTTTGATCTTCTGCTCCTCTGTCAGTTTGCTGAGAATGATGGTTTCCAGGTTCATCCATGTCCCCACAAAGGACCCAAACTCATCGTTTTTGATGGCTGCATAATATTCCATGGTGTATATGTGCCACATTTTCCCTATCCAGTCTATCGTCGATGGGCATTTGGGTTGGTTCCAGGTCCTTGCTATTGTAAACAGTGCTGCAATGAACATTCGTGTACACGTGTCCTTATAGTAGAACGATTTGTAATCCTTTGGATATATACCCAGTAATGGGATTGCTGGGTCAAATGGAATTTCTATTTCTAGGTCCTTGAGGAATCACCACACTGTCTTCCACAATGGTTGAACTAATTTACACTCCCACCAACAGTGTAAAAGTGTTCCTATTTCTCCACATCCTCTCCAGCATCTGCTGTCTCCAGATTTTTTAATGTTTGCCATTCTTACCGGCGTGAGATGGTATCTCAATGTAGTTTTGATTTGCATTTCTCTTATGACCAGTGATGATGAGCATTTTTTCATATGTTTGTTGGCCTCACGTATGTCTTCTTTTGTAAAGTGTCTGTTCGATCCTTTTTAAAAAATTGACTGTTTGAGCCAGGCACAGTGGCTCACACCTATAATCCCAGCACTTTGGGAGGCCGAGGTGGGCGGAGCACCTGAGGTCAGGAGTTCGAGACCAGCCTGACCAACATGGAGAAACCCTGTCTCTACTAAAAATACAAAAATTAGCCAAGCGTGGTAGTGCGTACCTATAATCCCAACTACACAGGAGGATGAGGCAGGAGAATCACTTGAACCCGGGAGGCGGAGGTTGCAATGACCTGAGATTGCACCATTGCACTCCAGCCTGGGCAACAAGAGCGAAACTTTGTCTCAAAAAAAAAAAAAAAAAGATTGACTATTTGATAGGTGTGGTGGCTATAAATAATTAGAAAGTCAGATCAAAATCATATTCCAGGTCTCTTATTAGGCCAGAAATTTCCCTTCTCCTTTGTTTTTCTGATGATGGTTATTATGGATAACCAAATGGTCTTCGTTCTCCAACTTACTGTGAAACAATTAATACAGTTCATAATACTTTACAAGTTATTTATTTTTCTCATGACTCATAGCCTTGGGATCTTTTAAGACTATCATTGGCAGGAGCAAAGTACACTTTAATGATTCCTATTAAGGTAACAAAACCACAAGGGGATAGCCAGGTAACTCCAAACATAAAATCCACCATAATACAAATAATATAAATATAACTTTATATTATGGCTATGACATCATATAACATAACTATTTATATTAAGGCTGATATTCATTATAAACATAGTGCTAATTGGATTGCTAGATAATTCTCTATGGTTATTCTTCCAAAAAGATTTTTGTCTTGCACTGTTTTAAAAGAAGACAGTGCAAGACAAAAAGGAGGAAAGCAGTAGGAAGAAAGCAGTAGTTCATAGAATCCAAAAAGGCAGATGACCAGAAAGTTCTTTTAGAACTCATGCTTGAGGACTTCCACCAAAATAACAAACACCTCTCATGGACCAGCCTGGAAAGGGGTCCCGGGTCTTTCTGTCGAGTGAGGCTTTCTATCCTACCTCCTCCCAAGTGTGATGACCATATCACTGTTCCTCCTGCTACTCTCTGGTTGTCTTTCTTTCACTTCCCTACTCTTCCTGCTTTGAGGCCAGAGGCTTGGAGGTTTCTTCAAAAATCAGAACCAGAGAGAGGAAAGTTCCAGTTACTGAGCCAAGATGCCTGAATGTGTTCTCCTGGCTGCTGCTGGGCCATAAACCTCAACACCAAGCGTGCCAATGGGAGAGGAAGTTTAAGGGTAACTGGGTGATGCCCATTTAGCTAGATGCAGGGAAACATTAGTAGTTGTGCAATAGTCTCCATTCTCTATACCAGGACTCTTCTACCTTTCACTGTGTTTCATAAACTTCCATGGACAGAAAAATACATAGGCAATTATTTCTGATACTAAAATTTTTGAACACCTTTTTTAGCACTTACTCTTGCTGTCCACATCTCTCTGTAGTCTACTAGTCTCCATGTTAAAGGAGATTGCATGGGCTGCTCTTATGTTTGTCTTTGGTGGTGGTGGTGGTGGTGGTGGTGGTGGTGGTGGTGGTGGTGTGTGTGTGTGTGTTTCAGGGATGGATCAGGGAGGGGAGGTAATAAGATAATGGCAGAATGCCAGCCAGAAAAGAAAGATTAACATTTGCAATTATAAAATAACCTTCTAAAATTGCTCCCTTTCTATCCTGTAGTAAAACAAAAGAATAAAAATGGAAACGTAGTCTTTTCTCAGCCCCCTGGAAATATGTCCATTCTTGCCCTGTACTCCTACCCCCTTTGCAGAAGATAGCAATGAAGAGGTTAAGATGAGACCCCCCCCAACCCCCTACAAGTCTTTGGGAAAGGATCTAAAACAGTGTTGCACTTTGGGGTCTGTAATGCTCTCCTCCCTTGGGTCTCCCTATGCTCTGACTGCCACCCTTCCTCCCTGTAGCACCTGAGTAACTGTGGGTAGCTCTTTTTATAGGACAAGACTCTTTTCGTTGACAGATGTGTATAGAAAAAAATCATGGATAGTGCTACTCAATCGCACATCTTTCTGGTGCACTTGGTTTAGCCACATAACTTCTTAACCTTCATGTGTCCATTTTATATGGTTTCATTCTGCTTCCAAAATTATATCAAATTATTATGTCTTCTTCATTTTCCTTTATGCTGTTTGAGTCTTATGTATTTCTTTGATTAGAGTGTCTTAGCCTGAAAACCCCGGATCTTCACTATAGGAAACTAGTACAAAGGTAATCATCTGTCAGCAAACTTTGTATTGCTGGATGTTTTAGTAATTGCCTTCAAATGTAGTAACAAGGTTGTAGGTTTAATGAAATGCTTATAAATGGTGGCTTTAGGGAAATCAACTGCTCTATTTTCAATACTGAATTCCAGATAACTATGTATTAACACAACTGTGTTCTGCCTTTTTTATTTCAGTACCTACTAGAAATGAAAAGTTTAATCCTACCCCCAGAACACATCCTGAAGAGAGGAGACAGTGAAGCAATAGCATATGCATTCTTTCATCTTGCACACTGGAAGAGGGTAGAAGGGGCTTTGAATCTTTTGCATTGTACATGGGAAGGCAGTAAGTAATTTTCTTTTTTTGAATCATTTTTAAGAGCATGAAAAGATTCTAAAATGTTTTTGCACTGGGTGTTTATGATGAATGAGGAAGATATACATATATATTACCCTTGTGTTCTATGATGGCCCATCTAAGACAGTTAGTGACTTAGGTTCTCCCATCCACCAGTGGTGGTGGGTATTCCTGTGGTGAGGCTGTTTCCACAGCTCAGAACAGTAAATTTATTTTATAGATGGGGTGAACCCAGATGTTCTTCAGAGGGGCACTCTGCTATCCTGAAAACCTGTTTGTAAACTTATAGAGCCCCACAGCATCATGGTAATCTTTGGCATGGGGTTAGGCTTCGTGCTGGTCACTGATGACCACTTCTTGATGGCCTTTCTGGGAGGGTTGGCTAAGAGCCACAGCTATCCTCCACTGGAGCCAGACTGGCCACACCCAAAGGCGTGGCAGCTATGCTTCAAACCAAGGACAATGGCCATGGAACCCTAGTGTTTGCTAAGAGGTATAGCATTCACGTATTAATGGATAAATGCCGGGTAGATGAATTTAGGAATAAATAAATCTGTGGGCATGTTCTCCATAGATATTATTATTCAGTGTAAGGAGAAGAGGCTGTAATGGTGGGTGAGACATGTTCCTTGCCTTGGAGAAGTGTGTCATCTAAATGGGAAGAAGAACCAGCAGCACGTGGAAACTGCCTGTTGATTTTTCAGAAGGGAGAGGTCTATGGGGTGGAGTGATCATGGGTAACATTATGAGTCAGATGAGATTTGAACCAAGCCTTGAACAACTAGGACAGTATTATAAGTTTATTATAAGCTAGGACTGTATGAAGAAATGATAAGTGGTGGGGTTGTTTGAGAGAATGTAATTAAGGAAGAAAGCTCAAGACTATGAATTACTGGCCATGTGCATTGACACTCTACTAGCATTAATATTTGCAAGACAAGTACAATGTGAAGCATAGGGTTTTTTTTCCACCCATGGGAAACTAAAACAATAAATATTAGAATCTTCTGACAGTTTTTTCCTAACTCACCCTCACTCTGATCAACCTCACAAACAAGTGTCTTTTTAATCCTTTCGCTCTGTTTATCCTTGCAGCTTCCATTTTCATTTTGATAATCTGCTCCTCCCTTTTCCTGCCCTTCCTAACCCAGCAGAAATCCAAGTTGGTGCAGGAAGGGAGGTTTGGGGAGTGAAATGGGATGGTGTAAAAATAAGCTAGAGATGGGACTCAAAGTTGATTGAAAATTTTTGTTTAGTTTTGAAACTATTTCTTTAACAAATTAATTGTGGGTCTGCTTCTATAGATTACTATGTATAACTTGAAGGATGACATGATCAGTGTTTCCGCCCCTCCTCAGTAAGTGCAATAGCATACTTCAGGTGGCTTGGTGGCACCAGCAACTGTATTTAAATGGGTTAAAACACACCACACTCCACACGGTGTGTGTGAGCATGGTCATAATCTCTTGTGGCTTGTGCTTCCTGTTGTATGTAAACTGTTCTATCAGAAGGAACAAAATAAATTTTTATTTAAGCATGAGAAAGAGACAGAAAAGCCCAGCAGTACTGAACACGAGAGGCCTTACCTAGTGTCAGTTGTGGAGAAATTAAATGGACAAGTTGGCTTACCAAATATCTGTAGATTGGCATCTTGGAAACAATAATAGGAGCTCATCCATTGAATCTGATGGAAAGAAAGTTACCTGTCCTATAGAAAGTACCAAAAAAGGGGTGGGACAAAGGATGATGAAGACATGGTGTCACCACAGAAAAATGGCATCACCATAGGAAAAAAAAAATCTACGAAGGATAACTGGAAACTCTTTTTGGAAATTAGTTATCCATGTAGTCAGATAACAATGGGAAGATGCTCTGATCAACTGGAAGGATAATGAGATTGAAAGAAACATGAAGTGAAACAGGGAGTTGCAAAACCAACCAGGATAGGGGATTGTATGGGGATTAAATTTTCTCAAATTAAACTGGCAGAATGCTTTATTAGGATAGAAAGAGGAGATGGGTTTTCAGACATAACACAGTATGGCCAGGTACCTATAGGAGAGGAAAATTCTGCAGTTGATCCTTACAGATAAGCAGGAACCACTCTGGAGAAGTGTTGGTGAAAATCATGTAACTGTGATCCCAGCCAAAGTCACTTACACTGCCATTCATTTTTCACATGGAGCCATAACATTCCATTTTAGAAAAGAGGTCTGTGGAGGTGCTTACTATATGCTAAATGCTTGAGAATGCCACGAACCTTGAAGAGTGTTTATATAACTGGGTAATTTACAGAGGGCTTGCATTTACATCATACACTCTCCCTGATAATGTTCTGAGTTAGGCTAGACAGAGGTGGCCATCCCAGTTTTTCAAGAGAGGAAACAGGTTCATTGAAATCAGTGCCTTTTTGACACTGCAGCCACTATTGGGGATCCAGGATATAAAACCAAGTTCACTTTTCCTTCACTGCACTGTACAGATTAAGAATACAAGGATCAGTCATCTCTGAAACATTTGTTTGGAAGCCCATGAGAGAAATTTATATCACTACTTACAGGGTTAGGGTGTATTTATTATACCTAATCTCTCTGTAATGTTTAGAAAGTTAACCATCCTATACAAAATTATATTTTCTGTTTGATATTTACTTAAACATTTTAAATATTGAATGACACCAATTTTATAAGATAAATAACAGGTATGTATAAATAAATGAAAGACACTGGAAGTAAATAAGCCTGTATTAAGTGATTGCCACTCAATTGTGGATTTTAAATAATTTCTTTTTTCTTCATATTTGTGTTGTTAAATTTTCGACAAGCATAAATATGTATATGTACATATATACTTGTATACACATATATTTTTAAAATAGTATCTCATCACAGATGTTTTTGGTCTTTTTTAAAAATCAAAGCTGTAAAAAACATGCAATTTAGAAGAAAGAATTACCCCTCCAAACCAAGACAATTTTATCCAATCTTTTGACATGGCTTCTGGATCTGTGTTCATTCTAAGTTAAAGGGAGTTTCCACCCTCTGGATTTTCCATCAAATGACTTGGATTAGAATTCTGACTCAGCTACTTACAGTAGCATTTACTTTACTAATTTTTAAAAACTATGAAGCACCGATTATATTGAATGCCATACCCCACCCACCCCAGATTGTTGATTTCAGAGCAGTTGCCGCAGCTCCCTCTCAGGTCCGCTGGCCAGGCGTGGGCAGCCTGTGCCAGAGCAAAGGAGGCTGCACTTATGCCAGTGCACCACTTGGTGGTGCCTTTTGACATCTCCAGCCTTATAGTTGAGGTTTTCTCCTTTGAATCATTTTTATCTTCATTCTGAAATTTAAGACCATTCCCCAACTTTCTTCCAACTTCCCGTTTTCATTAGAAAGAAAATTCAGGGAAGAAGGTAATAGTACCTAATTTTACTGGGTTCCATTAAAATGATTGTTAGTAAATTTATTTTTGGAGATTTAAAACAAATTCTTAGTATCTATCAAAACTGTTGGGGGTAGGGGTGGAGGTGTTTTTGTTTTGCTTTTTAATGAATTTGTTATGTTGGAACATTAGTCATCCTTAATTAGTGGAATTAAATAAGTTTTCCACCAATCAAGCTGAAAAAAAGAAAACCTCCCATTTTTGATAAAGCCCCAAAGTCCAGCTGATGCATGGCAGAGATTGTTTGGGTTTGAAACATATGGTGTTTTTTTTAAAAAAAACAAAACAAACAAAAAAACTGAATTCTCAACCACAAATACATCAGCGTTTCAAAGGTTTCCAAAATGTTTGATTCATCACTGGTCCCAGCCCCTGAAATTACACAATATATTCCTCAAAGTCAAGATAATTAAGAAAGGCAAGAGTTTTAATTTACAAGATTGTATAATATGTTTCTAGTTCATTACACAGCTACCATGCCACCTTATCTGAATTATATTTATTTTGAACACTGTCAGTTCTGGCTATCCTCAGATACATGCACCACTGGAAGTATGAGTTGAATATAAAAAACATAGAAATGAAGGCTCTCATTTGAACTGGGTCTTCTTTACAAGAGTATTATGCCTTCTGGGCCCCCCCCTTTTTTTTTTAAATTTTTGCCGGGGCCCTATTTTAAATGGCACATTGTCCACTCTATCTGTATTAATACCGATGTGGTTTTATCTCCCTCCTATCTTTATATTTTCAAGGCTCTGTTTTGGCTGTATTTATTTTAGAAAGCAGGGTTGCCTGCCGACCACAACTGTGAACTTTAACTTTCTAGTTCTATATATCAGGAGGCCAGTCTGCCATGGGGTAAATCACTTAGCCTTTCTTTGTTTCCGTTTTTTTTCCAACTTGACCAAGTAAGACTCTTTATTTTCTTTTTAGAGATCCCCCACCTCAAAGAATCCACTAAATAATGTATAAGATTTGAAGGTAGAGTTTTTTAGGAGAACTAAGGCAGAGTATTCCCTTTGAGAGGGGAAAATGGCCCATTGTTGAAGCATAGGATGAGGTTCTGATTCTAATTTATTCTCTTTGAACGTAATGGCAAATGCTGCTCACTGTAGGATGTGGTTCTTAGGGCATTTCCTCAACCAAACCTTTCCTTCATAAGGCTGGCACCTTTTGAAATACAAAAGAGAAATTTCACCACCCTCCTCCATAGATCCAAGGCTAAATTTTGTAATTTGGGAGAAAGTAATGACCGGCCAAAGTCCCTGGTCATAGCTAAGTTAGCCTAATAGCCAGACTCCAGATACCATATGATGCTTCCCCACCTACTACCCAGGAGAACCAACTTGCTCCTTTCCTTTATTTAGTCTTGATGACTGGCTATCATATGGGTCCACCTGAGGTTTTAAAAGGAAAATTCTGTCTCTTCTTGATTGTCCATTTATTCATTCATTACTTTATTCAACAAACATTTATTGAGTCCCTCCTTTGTGCCAGACATTATGTTGAGGATATCAGGATGAATAAGAATCTGAAATGCTTTGGAAGGAACATTAGAGAGAGAGAGAGAGAGAGAGAGAGAGAGAGAGAGTGTGTGTATGTGAGTGTATGTATGCACACATGTGCAGTATATATTTTTTCTGCTTGTCCAAGTAAGGCTCTTTATTTTCTTCTTAGAGATCTCCCACCCCAAAGAATCCACTAAATAATAGAAGATTTGAAGGTGGTGCTTTTTAGGGGAACTAAGGCAGAGTATTTCCTTTGGTAGGGGAATATCTGCCCCACATCAAGTAGATAGATAGTAGTGCTTGTATATACACTATCTATCATGAAAGTAGGAACTGAGTTATTAGAGTAGTGAGGGTCACTAAGAAGTTAGGGACTCTGCTGTAGAATTTTTCTTCAAAATCAGAGTAGAACATCATTTAATCCAACCAAGGGAAAGTGTTTTTCCCAAGGCCACATAATTACGTAGTGAAAGCATGTGGATCCCAACTGAGCCTTTTGACTTTTGAATTTTCTTTATTGCTGCACCCAAATTCCTCACTAAAAACAGATGGCCTTTCTGGCCAGTTAACTACATTGAACTTAAAAGTGAGGACATAATACTGCAATTTGGTGATAATTTCCTGTTCTATCATTTGCATTTCTAATTGTTAACAATTAAGCAGCATTTTTACTTATAAGCTAGAATATGGCCTGATAGAGAAAGTATGAACTTTAGGTTTAATAGAGAGGGATATGGGGAAAAGAAACCCAACCTTTATTGAGCAGCCAGGCACTATATGTGGACACCTTGACCTCTACTGTTACACTTAGTTCCTTTACCAGCCTTTTGAGGCCTGTGATATTCTCATTCTACAGACTAAGAGACAAGGACACAGATTAATGACCCACTCAAAGTCATTTACTAGTGAGTCTAGGCAGGTCCTGCTCATCCTTTAGATGCTTCTTGGGCTGCTCCACCATTATGTACACACAGCATCATGCCTCCCTTGGAAGTGCTCATCACTGTGGAAACCTTTACTCTCACTTTTGTGATGATTGGATCCTGCTTCTGGCACTTGGTGGGAAAGGGCAGGGGCAGTGTGTGCTGGGCTCACCTTTGTGCTCATCACATAAGAAGTCACTCACCTTTTGACAAGCGACTGATTATAAGAGGTAGAGCTGAGATTCAAACTCAGTTCCCTCTACTGCAAATAGTCTGTATAAAGTTCTCTAAGATACTCTTTGAAAAGGTATCATGGACTGATAAACTGTCTACAGTTACATTCTAGCTTTGCCTATGTAGTAGACAGAGTCATTGGGAAAATCAGGAATTAACTTGTTCACATATATATCCTTTTGTCCATTCTTTGGTTCTGGTGATTTTCCCCCCCAGTGTCAATTGAGAAGAATCTCTGATGGGAATGGCACTGATAGACTTGGCACCTAGAAAATGTATCTGATCAGTGATAGAAGAAGTCAGCATCATGCCATGGACTTGATTGTGAAGGCATGATCTGCTCTTTCACTAATTCCCAGTTTCATTTTGACCCTTCAGCAAATTCGCAACCAAAATCAATGCAGGGGAGGGCATGGCACACAGAAGAAAGTGCAGAAATATCATTTATGTACCATGTATTCACTCCGAGTGGCCTAGCTTTTTGTTTTGTTTTTAACCCAATACATGTATCTTTTTAATTCCTCTGAAATTTGTGTTTTCTCAAAGATTTTTAGGCCTGTACTCATCCATAAAGTAGATCTGTTCAAATGATCTTTTTCTATTCTTATTTCTACTACCAAATCAGTGTGTTTTTAATACTTAGATTCGCAAAATTTCTGGACATTTGGCAAAAGGCACAAGGCTGTCATGGAGCAGTTGCGTGTCTTAGCAGCGAAAGGGACCAGGAGGTGGGAGGTGATGCTGGCAAGGCTTGTGCAGTGCCTCTCCCGGCCTGTCTCTGGACCTCTACTGCTTATCTCACACCCGACTGGGCCCTGCACTGCAGGGTGGGTAAAGGATAGAATTGCAAGCAGAAATTGTATTTGCTTTTGTTTAGTGAAGCCAAAAGCCTTAATACTATTTTATGAGCTCAATGCAAATGACAAGTGACATGGGAGAGATTTTTAAATGCACCATAAGCATCTTTATAATCATGGGGGTGGAGGGCAATCCGGGAAGAGGGTGTGGGTGGGTGGGTGGTTGTGTGTACACATGCACTCGTTTTAAAGTTGTGCTGTGTCTCTAACCTCTCCAAAAAAGACCAGAGCCAATTAGAAAAAGGAAAAGACCAGCTTGATGCACAAAATTCTGTATGCATGCCAAATATTACAGTAAAAAGTATGTAGCATTTGACTGAAAAGACACCAACCAACCATAGATTTCTATGGTTGAACACTCTCAAGATCTTGCACTCCTGCATTTCATTTAAAAAATTACTCCCTGAAGTGCAAACTGACTTCAATTTTGAATAAAATTTAGCATTCAAATTTATAGCCACTTTGAAAACTGAGGGTTTATTTATATCATACAAACTTGAACAGATTCTTAATTACAGCAGCCCTTTGCACTTGGAGAATCTGGATTAAAAAAAACAAAAAACTTCCCACGTAGGTTTTTCCACATTTTTCAGATGCTTTTGTAGCAGCCATCGTTTATGGGAAATGGAATTAAAATCCTGCCATAATGTAGTTTAAGTTTAAATTCAGTACTTCCCAGAAGAGATTTTAGCGTATCCTATAAAGGCACTAAAAGGCTTATTTTTGTTTTTGTTTGTTTTTGTGGGGGGCATTTTGTTCTCTTGAAAGTCTGGCTCTAATGAGAGAGACGTTGCTTCCTTGGAATGATCTCTGTGTGTTAACAACCTGTGCAAAGAACTCCTCTCTTGCTTGTTCTGGCGGGCAAAAGTCATCTTTGTTTGCGTGAACGAAAAGGTCTGATTGAACTAGGGTGAGCTTTTCATTTTAAGCAGAGTTAAAGTCTGGGGTGTTTTTAATGTTTTAATCTCTGTTTAAGAGGTTTCTGTTACGAGAGGAAAATTGATAACATTTTTACCTCAGCAAACTGCCAGCAAACTGGCTCTGCTCTAATCCCACGTTTATAGTGATTTATATTCTCCGTGGCAATGTGCTGTAACCTCAGAGTGATACCACTGCGGTGTAGATTGACTGCATTCCAAATGCTGGAATCACATACATAATGTTTTTACTTTTAAATAATATTCAGACACCAGAATAAATACCATATGTGCACTGATGCTGGTTACAATGGAACCTTGTCATTTCTTGTGAGGGAGAACATTCTTTGTTTCTGATTCCTGTTTGAAATAAGTATGCAAAAGATAAATATGTACATTGACAGCATTTTAAGAAGGCTCTGGTAGTTACACAGCTGAGGATGTGGCTATGATTCCTTGAAATGTATCATTTAAAACTAAATATTCCTGCATGTTGCCACCATCCCTCACATACACGAAGGCAAGGACTGTTATCTGACATTCCCAGAGTAGGGTATAGCTTTTATATTTTATATCTACAGCAGGCTGTAGTAAGAGGACATCTGTTGAAGAAAAATTACCTCTATGAGGACTGTTCATAGGAACAGTGAGACTAACATGCCGATGACATTGTAACAGGGAGGGTAACATGCCTGATCATGGGAAAGGATGGATTGATTGGAAAGCTGTAATTTAGTGTGAGCCCTAATGTCATCTGATGCTACAAAAGCAGAATTTATGTGGCCTAACGTCATCAAAATATAGATAATCAATCTCTCCAGATCAATTTTCCCACACGATATTGAAGATTTAAACATTTCATAAAGTTTAGAAATACCTCCCAAGTTATACATTTTTAGATTTTTGTTTTTATTCATCTTGGTTGGAATTCAAATCCACTTACACATTATTTTTTAAATCGACTTGGTAGAATGCCTTTCTTATTTGTACATCTATGCAAACTCCAACAAGTCAATCCACATTTCCTTCTTGGGAAGCATTTTAATCCAGGTTTGTGTTATTACTGTTTGTTTAGCTATATTGAATTAGTGCCTATAACATTTTACTAATATTCAGTAGATGATGAAACTCTGGCCATTGATATTGATGGCTTCCCCACCCCTCTGCACCTCTGTCCCCACCCAGTTTTGTGAGGTTTGCCCAGAATATATAGTGTGAGATGAATGTGTGAGTAATACCTCATAATTCATCTCTGACATTTTATCTGGCACATAGCTTGGTCGGGTAAGCCTTGCCTCCTTTGGAGAAGCATTCCCTGTTATAAAAATGCTCAAACGTCCCTTTTTGCAGTCGGAAAGTTATGACACAAATTTTGGCCATATCTGACATATTTTTTCTCCTTTTCAGCTTTCCGGATGATCCCTTATCCCTTGGAAAAGGGGCACCTATTTTATCCTTACCCAATCTGTACAGAAACAGCAGACCGAGAGCTGCTTCCATGTAAGTCTCACCTCTCTTCAGCCAGTGAGGGTGTGTGGCGAAAGGTGGGGATTGGAAGAGGTGGGAATATCAATGTTTATAACCTTCGTCTTTTATTACTTTTCCCCAAACCCCTGTCCTTGTTTGATAGCATATGTATTAAAGTGAATTACGTGAGTGGGTTTGGCTTCCTGTTCCTCCAAGCCTCTCCAAATTTATCAAAGGGAAAGATGCCAAAGGATTGAAATCTAGATGAAGAAACTCCATGTACTGATTGGCCTGAGCACAGAGGCCCTGGTTTGGGCTGGTATCTGCTGGGCTGGTCCATTGGCAGGGTTCTGCCTGGGCTCTTCAGCTGGACAGATGTGGTCTGCACAGACCAGTTTGAAGAGGAGCTGCTGATGGAGAGGGAGCTGCAGATGAGTCATGGATGGGAGGGTGCTGGCACCACAGCCCCAGGTGGTGTTGCGGGACAGGGCAGTGTGCTCTGTGGTGGGACAGTGCTCTGGCCAGAGGGATTTCCTGTGAGCACCTCGTGGGTTGCACGTAGTGACTCAGTACCATGTGCAGAGCACACATGCAGCCTCAGCACTGTATGAAAGCACACAAAAGAAAACCCTGCCCTCGACTACCTTACACTGCTAGCAGTCTAATGGCCCATACCACATGTGGAAAATATTATTTTGCTTTGCTGTAATACAACATTGTTTTGACAATTCAGGCTAAATGGTTATTATCAAATCACACTGTGTGCAAGGATCATGTCAGGCTCTTCATGTAGCCCTGACTTAGGATATATTTTTCTCCCTCAGATAATAAGCTCCAAATTTTAGCTCTTCTCCCTTCTCTGTCCTGTCTCCTGCCATTTCTGCCCTTTCATCAGCTCCAGTTATATCAATATCTTATAGCTGTAACATATATAAATACTTTGCCCAGAGGAACAGTGTAACTTTAGAGTCCTGGGTGCATAGTAAATTTTCAAACACCAGCATCATCAAGCCAGTCGTGAGTCTCCAGCATGGTGGGATTTGGGTGTAGAACTCGACGGCTGTCATCAGATTGAGGTAGCAGGAGGTGCTCACTCACCTCCTTGCTAGCCAGGCCCAGTTCGAGATTTGTTACTCAGGGAACTGCGAGATCTCCTTGATGGGTTCCTCATTGTTTGAGTTTGATTGTGAACAGTCTCTGGTGCCTCACACGGCATTAGAGTTGATTTCAGAAATCCTCACCATGGGCCCGTAGTTTACCTTTTGACTCCCCCTTCAGGGAGATCCTTGTTAAGTTTTGGTTTTCTGGTAAGAAAGGCAGTTTTCTGACATGTACAATGTTTTTAAATGTTTTAATCGAGTTCAATTAAGTTTCCATGGGGATAGATTAGTTATTAGAACAAGATTACAGTTCTTACAAGAAACCTTATAGGGATAATCTTTATAAGCCCGAAACAGAAAATTGTGGCTCACATTAATTTAATTGAATGCAGTGCTCCAAGTCTGGTCTCCCTCCAAAATCTTTTTTGGTTGGATGTTGAGGGTGAGGATATGAAGAAGGTAGGTTGTTTTAAGTGCTACCCATAATTTGCACATTAAAAGTGTAATTATATCCACACGAGGCCCTGAGCACACTTGCTCCAGGTGTTTGAATCCCAGCAGGCTGACCTACCTGGACATGGTAGGCATGTTTGTCTGTGTGGAGTTCCACCTGGATCCCCTCTGTCCTCAGCATTCAGCCTTGTGGATTACTGTTGAGGGCTCTGAGGAACAGGAGCTGAAAGGTAGAGGAAAGGCCTCTAGATCTTGTATTCCCTGAGGACCATGAGACCCTCTGGTCCTCTTAGAGTGGCCTATTGCTCATGTGCAGTTTTACAGCCCCTCGCTCTTTCTCCTCCTGCAGGCCAGCCCCATCCACCCAGGCAGTCTCTCAGGCAGCCATGCAATGAGCACAGAGAAGGAAGTGATTCTCTTGACCTTTGTCCCACAGCTTTTTGGTTTTCTCAAACCCAATGTTTGAAATATGAAAGTTATAGAGGGTACTTTAGAGAGCACCAACTTTTCTTGTTTTTTGATGATTGCAAAACCCTAGCAGCCTTGACCTTTTCCTCTTGCAGTTTGAATAGACCTACCTACATGTGAGGTAGGTCCTCGCTGGATATCTCTCTATGAGGGTGGCACCCTCCACTGACATACCTAGAGAGTGCCAGGAAAAAATACAGAAGAAACTAGTATCGCCATATTTATAATGATTTTTTTTAATACAGGAAGGAAAAAATATAGACAGGAGCACTTTTTTTTAACCATGTATACTCGATTTTGGATTTCCAGGTTTTGTACAATGAATACGTGTTTTGTAATTTGAGTAAAGTTCTATTGTTTTAGTTGTGTTTGCTTTTGAGAAAGAAATACTATACATTAGGCATCGGCAGTGCTCCTCTTCCCTCCCATGAAGGCAACCCCACATTAGCCCCCTCCTGCCTCAATCTAGAGTGCTGAAGGTTGGACGAACACTTGCGACCAGCAGATGGGCCTCCAAAGGCTGGGTCAGATGTTGGCTACGGTTTGTCAGGTGCACTATTTTGTTCATTTCCAATAGTCTTCCAACTCTTTCCAAAGCTCTGGGGTCAGTGCCGTCATATAGACCATCCCTGAGAATGCATTTTATTCCAGCCCTGATGTTTCCCTTTTGGTCTTCTCCACAGCTTTCCATGAAGTCTCAGTTTACCCAAAGAAGGAGCTTCCCTTCTTTATTCTCTTTACTGCTGGATTATGTTCATTCACAGCCATGCTGGCCCTCCTGACACATCAGTTCCCGGAACTTATGGGGGTCTTCGCAAAAGCTGTGAGTGTTTGCCCAGAGGGAGTCCTCGGGGAATGGTTGGGGAAAGCCAAGGGAAGCAGCATAAGAGAAACAAGGTTGCCTTGCAGAAATTGATACGAGCCTGCAAAGATCATTGCTCACCATTTAATTTTCATGATCATCAGTGGAATCAAAGCATTAAGGGTCAAATGAGAAAGTGCAGGTTATTACTGCATGTCTTGCCTCGTTTCACAAAACAAATTCTTAGCAGTTTCCAAAAAATGCAGGAGGTCCAAAGGGGTGGAATGATTTAGGGAATTCTAGCAAATGAAAAATGTGTGGGAAATTATTTGGTTTTCTATAATTGAATGACATTATATCTAATCTTTGGCTATCGTGGTTCTTTCCTTAGTGAAGGATGAGATTTACGTTTTCAGAGATGATTTAAATAATTTTTTAAACGGCTGCAAACCTTTGGCTTGTTTAAGGAATGAACAGAGGGTGTGAAGGCTTATTAAGAAGTAAACTGAAATGACATTTAGAAATATGGAAAGCCATTAAGAGTTTTTAAGGAGCTTGGGGAGAGGAGCTTTAATAAGAAAAGCCATCTGCATTGACAGTCAAGAACCATTATTTCTTTGTTGAAAACTGACCATTTCAACCTGCACATGCAGTTAAGGATAAGTTTACTGATCTTGCCAAAGATGAGTTTTAAACAGAAGGAATAAGGAAAAGAGTATCAGTTGTATCCCTGGAACTCCATTCAGATTTCAAGTCCAGTGCAATCAGAAAGCATGATTTCTAACTTGGCTGGGTTGATTTAATCCCTTTCCAGATGATTGACATTTTCTGCTCGGCAGAGTTCAGGGACTGGAATTGCAAGAGTATTTTCATGCGTGTTGAAGATGAACTGGAAATCCCTCCGGCACCTCAATCTCTACATTTCCAAAACTGAACTCATCACCCCTCTTCCCCCACCACCAAAACTGCTCCTCCTCCTGTATTCCTGACCTCCGCCATCCACCCCGTTGCTCAAGCCAGAAACTCGGCAGCCCTCCCAAATTCTACCCTCTCTCACTCCCCACATCCCATCTGTCTTGGCCTTCGCAATCTGTCAGTTCTAACCTCCTAAGCAACTAGGCCTTCAGTAAATGTTATTCACCTCTTCTTTCCCTCCTTCTTTTCCCAAAGCATCCCTCTTAGTCTAGGTCCTTGTTATTTCTTGCCTGAACTCCTGCCATAGTCTTAACTGGTCTCCTTGCTTCCAGTCTTATCCTCCACCAACCTTTCTTTTATACTGACAGAAGAATGGTCTTTCTGACTTGCACTTCTGAGCATGTCACTTCCCTGCTTGAATTTCTCCAGTGGCTTCCCGGTCACTTCAGCATCAATTCCCAGTTGTTCAGCATGGCATCTAAGGCTCTTTATTATCTGACCCTTGCTTACCCCTCAGCCTCAGCTCTCCCAGCTCTTGCACAGTCACTGCTCTTCAGTCATAATGAATCACTCACCATTCCCACACGTACCAGGCTCCTGCACACCTCTGTGCCTTTGCACATGCTGTTTGCTGTGCATGGAATGCGCTTCATTGTCACCACCCTACTCGTCCACTCTACTAATGCCTCTTCGTTCTTTCGTACTCAGCTTTCATTAAAGTGCTTCTAAGCTGAGTTAGGCGTCTCTCCTCCATGAGCCCACAGTATTCCATGAATACATATATTCTCACATTGATTGTACTGTGTTATAATTGTGGAAAACTTGTCTGTCCCCATTTAGAATGTGAGCTCCTTGAGAGCAGGATGCTGTCTTCCTTATCTCTGTAACCCCAAGGCTTTGCACAGTGCCTTGCATATAGTAGGTTTTCAATAAATGATTATTAAATAAATAAATAAATGGCAGTGGTCTCTGCAGAAAGAGTCAGTGGAAAAATCAGAGACAGCTTAGCATTGTATTTTCTCTTCTTTATACTTATAGCCTCTTAGAGTTGAAATGGACCTGAAGCAAATTGCCTTTAATAGCAGTCTTCAGTGGAAGTCACCTAGACTCATGTTGAATACTTTCAGTGATGGGGTACTTACATATTTATAAACATTAAAGCCTATTTCATTATTGGATTACTCAGAACTTTGCCTTATACTGTGAAAATCTGCCTCCCTTTAGTTTCCACTTATTCCTGTTCTGTACTTTGAGTGTACACCAAACAGCCCTCCTTCTCTTGCGAATTCTTAGGACACTCATTCATTCATGGCCACCTCTAACCGACTACCTGATTTTTCCTCCAGGTAGAATATCTTACATTTCCTTAAGTCTTCTGTGCATGACATGATTTCTACACCCATTATCACCCATATTGCTGCCTTGAATGTTCCTTAGTTTATGGGCCTGGACTATTTATTAATTTCTTCTACTCCCTAGCCAATCTCTGAGTAAAAGTAGTTGCCAGAACTGAGTGTAACTTAGTAAAATTTAAAATAAGAATATTTTGGCCGGGCGCGGTGGCTCAAACCTGTAATCCCAGCACTTTGGGAGGCCGAGGCGGGTGGATCACGAGGTCAAGAGATCGAGACCATCCTGGTCAACATGGTGAAACCCCGTCTCTACTAAAATACAAAAAATTAGTTGGGCATGGTGGCGTATGCCTGTAATCCCAGCTACCCAGGAGGCTGAGGCAGGAGAATTGCCTGAACCCAGGAGGCGGAGGTTGCGGTGAGCCGAGATCGCGCCATTGCACTCCAGCCTGGGAAACATGAGTGAAACTCCGTCTCAAAAAAAAAAAAAAAGAATATTTTTACAACATTAAACAATTGTTGCTCTTTTACATTTTCTGTTTTTCTGTTAAATATTTCTAGAGCATATTTGTAAAAGTATGTTATTAGTCCAGTATTCTTCATTAAACCAACTGTAATAGCACTTAGTGGGAGTTTTGAATCAGTTGAGATTCCCAGCCTCTAGTCTATATAGTCACCTGGCCGCACCACCAGAAATCCAAAATCTTGAGTATTAATTAGCAGGAGGAATCTGTATTTTTAACAAAGCCCCCAGCAGATTCCAAGGATGGAGATGGAGGGGATTCTCCCATCTCCTTCCAGGGACACTGTTTGGAAAGCTGAACCTTCAAGCACCTATTTGCAGCTGCGGTGGTGTACCCTCAGAGCTGTTCAGGTGGAAGCTTTTCAGGAATTAATGGTTTCCCTGGCTGTACCTTGGAATCATTGAGAAACTTAAAAATTACTGAGGCCTGCCCCCACAACGTGAACTTAATTGGTCTGGGATCAGCATGGCCACCTGAGTTGTCAAGCGCTGGTGATGTGGATGTACAACCACTGTATTGAATAGAATGAGTAATTGCCTGAGCCCACTTTAACCAGCAAGGGGACTGGGAATGCAGAGGGAAGGATAGCGACTAGAATACACCTGGGCATTCTCTAGACTGTGAATGGCTGTGTAGCTGTGCTTCCAGAGTGTCGGAGAGGGGTGTTCATTACGGATGCGGGACAGGATGCCACTCTCCTCATTTAATGTTTTCAAAGCTTTGGTTTTAAGTATAGGATTAAATGATTGAAGAAAATATAAATCTGCCTTTAGGGTCCTCTTATTTTTTACACTACCAAGGTGTGATAGTTTGGTCAGCTCCCCGTAGTTTTCAAATGTTCTTTAGATAAGTTTGCATGTAAACCTCTGTCTGGCGAATCACATTTATCTTGCCCTTCATTAAGGTCTAGCAGTTTCCAAAATGTCTGGAGAGACTTTGGGGGAAGGAAGATGGATGGTCTTACTGAGACAAGCCCCTTCTCCTGCCTCCTCCTCGACCTGCCCCCTGAGTCTTCTCTGCGTCTTCACCCTGGTCACTTCATCAGGCCCCTCCCGAAGCTCCCACCCCACACCCCGCAGGTTATCACAAATGCCTTAGAGGCTGCCTGTGACCATTTGCAGCTTGTGAAAGTGATTTTCTCAGCCCTTCCCTGAGATAATGTCCCTGGGACAGTGACCTTTAGTAGATGCAGAGAGATTGCACTGCCACCCCCAGCTGCTGGCTTGGGAACTCTCCAGTGTGTTTACATGGTGATCATGATGTGCGGCTCATAAGGAAGCTTACAGGGAAGTGTGAACCACTGGGAAATAGTGAAAGGAGCAGCTTCCACCGGCATTTCCCCCTAATCTAATTACCTCAGTGATTTAGGACTAACTCTTCCTAGAATGTTTAGTTACAGAGATAAGGGTGCACATAAATACGTTATCATTCCAAACCCACCTCCTCCCAGAATGTGGGAAGGTCAGCATTCTGACCCCTCTGTCTTTCCTTCTCTAGTCTCTCTCCTTCCCTGAGACTGAGTCTCCTGACTTCTGAATCTCTTCACTTATAGGCCTCAACCTCTTTGAACCCTGATATTGATTACTGTGAAATGTCAATTGTCTGATTGCAGTAGGGCACCTGGAACTTACTCAGATAAGCAGAGGCGTTTTGAATGTTAATGAAGCCTGTTGGGAGCCGTGACCGTCTAAGTGATGGTGTTTTAGGCAATTGAAGTGTCTCTCTCTTTTTTAATTAGTTCAGTTGCTTTTTCTCACTACAAGACACTCATTGAATCCTGGGGTATTTTGATTTAAGATTTAACCAGGTACCTCTGCCTTCTGGACAGTTTTAGACATTGAGATAAATAAGCTCTTTCAGGTTTTCTTGGTGTTGCTCATTCAGACTTAACTTTTCAGCAATAAATTCCCCCTAAGTCAAGTGAAAACTGCTGTTTTCTGATTGTGTATTCCTTTATTGCTTGGGTCTCCAACTAAAAAATACTAATTTTCAAATGTGCAGAAATATAACTGAGCATCCTAAGCAAGTCATGCACCTCCAGACTTTTGTTGTTTTTTTTTTTTTTTTTGAGAGGGAGTCTTGCTCTGTCACTAGAGTACAGTGGCGCGATCTCAGCTCACTGCAACCTCTGTCTCCCAGGTTCAAGCGATTCCCCTGCCTCAGCCTCCAGTAGTTGGGAATACAGGCACATGCCACCATACTAGGCTAATTTTTTGTATTTTAGTAGAGACAGAGTTTCACTATGTTGGCCAGGATAGTTTCAATCTCCTGAGCTCATAATCCACTGCCTTGGCCTCCCAAAGCAGACAGTTTTTTAATACCTCCTAGCCTTTATTTATGCAAGACACTAGCCTTTATTTGGTTACTAAGTAAAAGGGCTTAGCAGTTTCAGACACCTCTCTACATTGTCCGCTGCTTCCTTGCAGGTGTGGGATGGGAGGCATGCTATAAGAAGGTGGCTTAGTAATGAAGGGAGCACATCTCAACTGGGGTTTGTGAGAGAGTAAATTAGGCCCTCTAGGAAAAAGCTCAAGGGAGTCTTTGTGAAGTCTCCCAGGGATAGAACATTCTAGATAGGAGGGATAGAAGTGAATCATTCTATATGTTGGAGGCATTACGGCTTTCTTGTGGAAGCTTGTTGAGAAGGGCAGGTGTCATCCAGGAAAAAAGGGACCACTGTACTTTGCTATGCAGCATGGGAAAAGAGGGCATTTGTGGACATCAAACAGGATGAAGCTCTCCTCTTGATTTTCAGAGGCCTCACTTTTGTGCTTTTTATCCAAGTCAGGTTAGTGCCCAAAACAAAGCAAACAAACAAAACAACAAAAAAGGCCTTTATTTTAAGCCAGCACTGTTACATCTCCATTCATTCTGCAACTCAAGGTGAGCCTCCCTGAGGTCCCCACATTTTAGTGTGTATGAATCACCCTGAGTCCACACTGTGAGCGACACCTGCTATCTAACTTTACTGGCTCATGTTCAGCAGTTGTAATAAGAGCTCAGTGGCTGCAATGGCTCAATATTTAGCAGTTCCTTCCCCACTCAACCACAGCTTCAACAGTTCTAAATCTGCTTTCGGACAAGTCTTTAGGATATGATAATGTTGCCAGCAATATCACCTTGTTTATTGAGCCTGATCTTCCACCACCTGTCAGAATCTCTGGTTTATCCAGACCACTGTAACACTTTCACTCCTCTTTATGAAGTTGAGTATTATAGACAGATGCTGTGGTTTATGGAGCATTGGTGGTCTCTGATTATGTATGTGTCTGTGTATGTATATATACACATATGCGGACATATATAATTGTATATATGTGTATATTTTATATCATGTTGGGATAATACAATTAGTAGACTTGTTCCATATTATCCTCTTATAACTAGGATTTTACAAATGCTCTGAGAGTCATTGGCATTAATTGCTCATTCCCAGGCCCATTGTCTCCCATGATACCTTCCAACTGCATTCATGGGTGCACCCAGTCCAGCTCTAAACTGAAAAGGATAGGCCATCTATTCTGTAGAGTGGCCCTGTGAACTCAACAAAGGATAATTTCAGAAGGTTATCAGAAACTGCCATGTATCTGGCACCCACTTGAGGACAGCACCATCTCCTCTTTGCTCAAGCACTGACATGGCTGCCTGTTTCTTAACTGCAGATCCAGCCTGGCACGCAGGACCCTGCCCAGTGTCCTTCTTAGCCACTTTTGAACTCTACTTCTTCTAACTATCCTAGCTAAACTGAAGCATTTATCACCTTCTGCTCATACTGTTGCTTTTTCATTTCTCTTCTGGCTGTTGATTGAGCCTGGAGGGCCCACCCTGCTCCTATTTCTTCCTTTACCATCCTTACCCCATCTCTCTCTTTTGACATTCCAGGCATCCACTGGAGACCATTTCACTTGCCTCATTCTCAGAAGTGTTCCTGCTCCTTTCAACAGAATGAATTATCTCCCTTTTCCAGTCCCAGTGCTTTGTTTGGGCTTCTATCCTGATTGCTGTCATAGCCTATATCTGGTTATTACTTTGCTTGGTCCAGATCTTTGTGGAGCTTAGTTTTGTCTTAGACCCTTTTATATTTCCCCCAGCACTTAAGTGCCTTACTAAATAAATAGATTTAATTGGTGTAAAAGACAGGTTGGAGAAGGATCCTAGATTTTATGCTCTCTTCATTTTCCATTATACAGATCTCACACTTGATGATCTGGCTATAATGTGGTGCAGGCCTTCCCAGTGTGTGTTCTGCTGGTCCCAAAACAAAACAAAATAAAAAAAACAGGGAAAATTCTAGGTCAGCAAATTTGGGAAACTTGCCCACCATACCTATTCTTGAAGACCCACAGTCCACAGAACTTACACCTAGTGAAGGAGCCTGATTTCACTTCATTAAATGTGCTGAACTTGCTTGACCTCAGAACTATGATCCCCTCTGCATATAAACACACACGCTGCGCTACACTTCTACAAGAAATTCTTAGTGGTGTCGATGGTGCTATGTAACGGACAAGGGCTTAGGACAAAGGGCTCCACAGTACAAGAACCAGGTGTCGAACCCCAGTGAGACAATACCTGGGTTCTGAGCAGACAGAGGGCAATAGAACCATCCAAACACCTCTTT